GAAAGAAAACCTGATCACTGCGGAAGGAAGAGTGAACATGATCTGGCGTGGGAAATTCATGCAGAATTTTATCTCTTGGGGGAGTAGGGCATAAATGCTTTCCAAGCTTCTGCACTGACAAGAAAAAAATCATCACCAAATTGCAATTACTTCAAGAGGAATTGTTCCAAACAAAGGAACAGACTCTTATGCCCTCCACGCACACAATGCCCTGAATGATAAGGGTGTAGTTTATGGCAGCTTGCAGAGAGATAAATATTTTGAGGTGGTAAAGGAGGTGAAGGACAGCCTTTTTAATAGATTCCCTAGCCGAAACATTTTATCTAGGAGGGTTAACTGAAAAAAACACCCCCCCCTTTGTTTTCTCCAGCTGGGGGTTGAAATATTCTTGTTATTTCCTGGTGAGCAGAGATAAAGGGAATCAACTAAAGAAATTATAATAATCAAAAGCTTACAGGTGTCAAGGAAATGCACCTGAAGGCCAGACAAGGAATAACAGATGGAAAGTGATCAAGGAGAGATTCAACCTAGAAATAAGGAGGCATTTTCTGACAGGGAGAACAATCAACCCATGGAAGAGAAGTTGCCTTCAGAAGTTGTAGCAGCTTCATCACTTGAGGCTTTCAAAAAGAGACTGGACAGCCATTTGTCAGAAATAGTGTAAGGTCTCCTGCTTGAGGAGGGGGGCTGGACTAGATGACCTGCAAGGTCCCTTCCAACTCTGTTATTCGATTCTAACTTTTGGCAGGTAGGGGGCTAAGTTCCAGAAAGCATTTTGCGAAGATTTTATTTTCTGGAAAACCCTGGAAGGTGGAAGGAAAGAGAAGTAGAGGATACCCAACAGTAAGGTTAGATGGTCTCAGTTAACAGTGGTGACGGGTGAACCATTGGAAGACCTGGAGAACATAGTACGATAGAGTTGGAAGGGACCTTGGAGAACAATCAACCCATGGAACAGAAGTTGCCTTTGGAAGTTGTGGGAGCTTCATCACTGGAGGCTTTCAAGAAGAGACTGGACCGCCGTCTGTCAGAAGTGGTATAGGGCCTATTGCTCAGCTGGGGAGTCCCTTCCAACTCTGTTAATCTGTTAAAACATTTGGTCCTGTTCATTGTGAAAATGGCAGAAGGCTTGGATAGAGATTTGAATCAGAATAGAGCTGGAAGGGACCTTGGAGGTCTTCTCATCCGGCCTCTCGCTCAAGCAGAAGACCCCATACCATTTTAGACCAGTGACTGTCCAGTTTCTTCCTAAAACCTTCCAGTAATGAAGCATCCAAAACTCCTGAAGGCAATTTCTGTACCGCTGGTTAATTGTCCTCCCTGTTAGGAAGTTTCTCCTCAACCCCAGGTCGCTTCTCTCCTTGATTAGTTTCCATCCATGATTTCTTCTCTTGCTCTCAGGTGCTTTGGAAAATAAATTGACCCCTCCCCCCACTTTAATAATAATCAGATATTAAACTCTGAATTTGAAGACTCAGAGTTTAATATCCAACCCAGCCTTTACTTATTTAGTTGCTATGCAATTGACACATGTTCTTCTCTAGCCCATCCTTGGAACAGCTTCATTATTGAGGCATACATTTTCTCAGGTGGGTTTCAAAATTTTTTTACTACCGGGGGCAATGGGCTGACTCTGTAAACCGCTTAGAGAGGGCTGTAAATCACTGTAAAGCGGTATATAAGTCTAAGTGCTATCGCTATCGCTATATGGTTTGGTGTCCAGACCTTTGATCATCCTACATCTCTCACTATCTTTCCTTCTCACTCGACTCCTCTGGAATTATGGTTAAGGGAAACATTGCCTCGTATAACCCAGTCACCCCTGTGGTTTTCTTTCTTCCTTCACAGGTACTATAGAAGTTCAGTTGTGTTGATGTGTTTTGTCATTCCTACTATCGTGCCTTGGCATTTCTGGGGCGAGAGCATATGGAATTCCTACTTCTTGGCTTCTATTCTCCGCTACACCGTCTCCCTCAACGTTACATGGTTGGTCAATAGTGTGGCTCACATGTATGGGAACAGGCCCTATGACAAAAGCATCAACCCTCGGCAGAACCACTTCGTCACTTTTGGAGCTATCGGTGAGTTGCCAAGAATTGGTTCACCTGGTTGGGAGGGTGAGGCCTTGAGGTTGCTTTTCTCCAAACTGTTTTAAGAATATTTTAGGATCAGGGATATCCATAGGTTCGTGATGGCGGTAGTTTCTGTTAGGTAAGCTCCCCGTTGGGAGAGCAAGTATGTTCAGGGAAGCGTTGTGAGAGTTGTGTTGGAGAACACACAAACCAGCATACAGAGACACTGCAGTTTAAATAGGCTTTTACTTTCATGGAAATA